TATCTCGTGGCGCGATCCGCCCGATTTGTGTCGTAGCGATTTGACAATTGAGCCGAGGTCGGCCGAGCGGCCAAATTATAGGCCCTGCTATTACGGCGAATAAGCGTGAGCACCGGTGCCAATGATCGCGGCTTCGCAGATTACCGCGACGAGCATCGATCGAACGTGAGACCGCCCTTGCACGAATTAAATTCAAGCAGACCGAGAGAGGAGAGATTTGGTTTAAATATTCGAACGCGTGTTAATTTGTCTGACTTTTTTTCTTCGAAAAATGAGCTTTCGATTATTACGTTGTTATAACGATGTCGAATAGTATTCGATGATGATCGTTAATATATATGTATTAATAAGTCGTTTCTGTTAATTACGTGTATACGGGACAATGGACGATGATGCGAACGATGAATTGCGTAAGTTGTGCCAGCTGTGTCATGGCAGTGGATCAGGATAACAGCAGCTGTTTTATGATCTAGATTAAAAGTTATCAGGCGATCTTCATTGCGGCAATTTAGACATCTACACCGCAATTTTCTATTCGACGCGATTAATAATCGTTCCGTCCATTGATTTTCGACTTTGGAGACGCAACATTAGTCTTCTCCGTTGAGAATCGTACGTACGTTTCTATCGCTCGAAAGGCGTTAATTTTTTCCCATTATTGGCTCTGCCGTTTCGTTTCTCGAACCTTTGTTCGTAGCCCTGTTGTTTGTAACTGATAAAAATATACGGTGGATCATTATCCATTTAACTCGATACGTTGTAACTTTGTCCCACGATAACGTAAATTACTCCGTGGAAACAATGTCCGCGATTATAGTAGCGACAGATTGAGCAATGGGCGGTAGTAGATTAATCTCCTTGCATGGTAAATGCACGCTGTCACGTGTATGTACTACACAGGCCAGCCCGTGGTTTATTTTATCTGCAAACAGCACATATTTCTCGGACACACAGTTAAGGAGTTGAGGCCGGGCACAGTATTACGACTGTGCTCGGTTAACGAGCCAACCGCTATCGTCGTTTTATCGACCTCCGACCAATGACAGTGCGAACGCGTTATAGAAAAAGACCAGACCGATTATAAGACTCTCCGTCCATCCGTTTTTAATTAAATATCACCAATTAAATAAGTCCACTTATCTTCAGAATATTTTCCAGATTATCCAAACCTTTATCTTTGCCTGGACTAAAAGACTTCTCTCGTCTCTGTGTCATATTGCCACCACAGTTTATCGAAAATTCCACCGTTCACTGGTGGAAAAAAGTCTCGCGGGACGGCGGAGGGGCAAGAGGGGTCCTTCGCTAGGACCATCTATCCCCACCTCGCGCGCTTTGTTGACAATTCTCGCACCACACGCTACATAGTGGTAAAAATTATTTTCGTTTCTCAAGTTACGTGTTCACTTTATTCGTACACATACAATTATTAATCTTACTCAAATTACATTTATAAATTATATAAACCATCGTTACAAATCCTAATAATCAGTTTACGCATATTGTGAACAAATAAAATTTAGAATTAAAAATTCTAAATACTATTTCTTCTCGTTTCCTTCGATTTTTCCCGAAATAAAATACCGATATGTGGCGAGAAACAAATAATTGTAACTCGAACCCAACGATCTTTCGTTTCAGGTGGTTTGAAGCACGGAAACGGCGGCATAGGCAGCGCGAGCAGTTCCAGAAGCACGAGTCCGAGTCAACAACAACAATCACCCCAAACCGGACTCTCCTTCATTCCCCAACCGAGAAATCAAAATTCGACCAACAGGCAACCCTCCACCACCACCCCGAGGTAAATATCAGTCTCCTCTAACACCTCATGAATTCGAGATAATCTTAACCCTTCGCGCTCGATTATTAATCGAGATGGAAATCTAATATAAATCGCTCGCCGCTCGAGTCACATTTCTGAATTTCTGACACGAAGTAATTACTTAATTTTAACCTTAATTTACAAAAAATAAATAAATAAATAAATAATTTATATATAATATTATATATAATATATAATATATATATAATAAATAAAATATTATATATAATTATATTATATNATTAATATAACATAATATAATATTAATATTAATATTATATAAATAAATAATTTATAACGACTTGAATTAAAATAAATGTTTCGAAATGTGGTTATTATAAAATTGAAATTTACAGAAATATTTTTCAACTGAAATGAAAAACAACATATTTGTTCAATCAAATTACAAATAGTCGCGATAGTCGTATTTCACAAATATGAAAATGAAGCATTTATGATATAAATATCATATTATTAATACATATAAATTATAATATCATTTAATAATATTTTATTTCTATAAATTTGATTGAGCGCAATGAGATCGATCTCATTCTCGACGAATATAATTTCGAAACGAAAGTAACGAAATTAAACGTTTCAGCCCTCGAGCCTCGACGGTGGGCAAGCCCGGGG